GCCAGGCAAGCACTCTCTCCCAGTGACAGGCTGCATAGGGTTAATGCTGCAGAGGAATTGTGTAGGCTTTGAGTAGGACCAGCTCACAAGGTTAAAGGAAGCAGACAGTCTAGAATTGGGTTTTCTTAATTACAGCAGAATTCCAGGTGGTTCTTTTTTTTTTTTTTTTTTGGCATGGTTACATTTCAGGCACAGAAGGGAGCAGGGGAGAAGAGAAACTGCAGCCAGTTTTCTGGACTTCCAGGAGACGCCTTGCATACAGAGGAGATTTTATGGACGTGTGTAACACAACAAACGTAGGCAACTGGTTAAGATGGATACCTTACCTAAAACTTCTGTATACTTTTCAGATGATCCCAGATGCACCCCCGTTGGCACGGCAATCTGGCATTATATCTGGTAATGTAAAAAATCTAGGATCCATCACTTCATTCTCTCTTTGCCTAAATCTTGGGGTGGAGTAGCCCTGCCTAACATGCTCCTTTACCATCATGTCTCTTCCTTACTAAGGATACTTTACTGGTATCACAGTCAGGAAAATAAGTTCACCTTTGGAACATTTTACATGTTCCACCAGTTTTTAGGGTGGAACATGTTCCCATGGCTTCAGCTGCACCTGCCACCCCCCCTCCCCAATACATAGTACTGGGAAAATTCTCCCCATACTATCTGTCAGAATTGAAACTAGCGCGGCCCTGCGGGGCATCGCCCACACAGCCATGACACTCATTCAGAGTTCTGTGAATGAGTAAAACCATAAATGGACAGGTGTTAGCTCAATATGGTTTCAAGATAAGCATATGTATCATAAAACATGAAATCAACATATATGTGTATGTAAAGATATAAAGTGCTGTCCCAACACCGCATTAGATAGTGAGAGTTCTATATAGGGTGTAACATAAATCCAAAAATGTGAATGGATGAGAGTCCTATAGAAGGGTGTCACATTGGTCCAGAAAGGTCTTCACCACTTGTGAGTAATATATGAATTTCCCACTCACCAGAAGGTGTTGACCCCCATATTGGATAGTCAAATATTGATTAGATGATTAAATAACATTTGGATTCTCAACTGTAAGCTCTCATATGGTGGGTCTCCAGGCTTCCCATCTCTCAATAGTGGCTCTCAGAAGAATGGATATCCATAAAATATGCTCTAAATGTAGTATTTATTAGGAATCATGGTTCATAAAATAGATAAAAAACACACGCACATGGTATGGTGTTTGTACTCCGGAACCAGTCTGTACAGCCAATGTGGAGACAGCATGTCTTTCTAAGGATCGCCGGCATGCGTTCCAAGTCTTGTGTTAGTGAGACGGACATGACGTCATGTAGGACCCGGAAGTGACAGGATCACGCTTCTACGTACGTTTGACCAGGCTGGGTCTTCAGGAAGTGACATGCCACCATTTTCGGGCTATGTTCATAGGGTCTCAGATGCTTTGATTGGGCGGCTACACCAAAATGGCGGAGACCCTATGTGCCAATCATATATATGCTGTTTCGTCTTATACTAGCTGCAAAGACTGTTGCGGTTCACAAATACTATTATGATTTGCACCTAAATAAAACTATATATAATAGCAAATACCTCTTACCTACAGTATAAAAACATATTATAGGCATAAAGAGATAAAAATTAAATAAAAAGAATGAACTACATAATACAAAAAATAAGAAAACAAAACAATATAAAATATGCCCAATGAAAAATTTGTTAGATCTGTAGACCAATATAGTATATAAAAATAGATGCAAAAAAATATTAATTAGATATTCAAGCACATCCCCTGTTGCCAAACATAGGTAGGTACAATGAGATGATGTCCTATAAATCAACCAATGTATAGATATTCATATTTTTCAAACCTAACTCCAAACTAAAATACTGACAATAACTGAATACTGACATTAAGGAAAGAAAGAAGAGGACAGCTTAGATAAAGAAAACACTTAAGATCTACAGTATATCTCGATTTACCCTATACATACAGGGAAAAAAGGGAGATAACATCCCTAATAATAACTTAGAAAACAATTGAGGTCTATATCACAATTTAACCCCTTGAGGTCCAATGTTTGTAGTTTAAAAATCCTTTCAGTTTCCATTTGTAGGCCTTTGTCATATCTTATACCTCCAATGTTTAGAGATCCTGTCTATTCCGCAGAAACTTAATAACCTGGGGTCCCGATTATGTTTCAATCGGAAATGGTTGGACAAACTATGCTGTCTGTAAACATTTTTTATATTCGTTATATGTTCCCCCATTCTAGTAGACAATTTCTGCGTTGTACTGTAACTTGCATGGGCATGTAAGTAAATATGTAACGCACCTAGAATCACATGTGTAATGCATGTGAAATGTGTTGGCCTTGGACCCTTTATTTCTTGGGTAATTTTTACAATAAAGCATCGCTGCCCAGATGCCAGGAGTATGAGAAGTGACTGATGTCATTTCTCTACGCTAAAGGAACAGAGTCAACATCAAATCACAAGACATTAGAATGCTTATAGCAAGATAAAAACTTGCTTGTGGGATTGAACGTGTTTATGACATTTAGTAATGTCACATTAGAAGATAAGAACCTGTTTAAAAGATGTCTACTTGCTTGAGAAGTTAGGAATCTTTAAATTTAGGGAAGATGAGAAGAAGTTTAGGGTAGATAAGAAGCTGATCTGAAGCAAAAATGTGACTTTTTAGAGAACGATGTTGATTCAATATGGTGGCTGGACGTGACTCTTATCCTCACGGAACCTTTCTGCTAGCTCCTCCTAGAGTGGGTGTGGCTCCCACCCACTTCAGGAAAGCTGGCAGGAAAATCGTTTAAAAGCAGGGAGTTTAAAAGGGATTGATTGGGAGTCTCCTAGTGACAGGGGACGCTCTGACAATGGGACTCTTGCCAAGGCTATATGGGGTCATTGATTTATGGCTTCCCAGTGACCCCCTGTGCAGTTTGGTTCAGATGGGATCTGTTCCTTCCTGCCTTCACATAGCTTTGGTAATGTATTAATTTTATGCTGGGACGCTGTCAAATGATGTGTCTATTTCATGCTGCAATGCTCACATTATTATTGGTGTGTGTTATTATGCAGATTGTGATGACTAAGATATATCCTCCTGTGTGTCGTGTGATAATAAAGTGCCGAGTGAATGTTGTGATGTACCAGGGCAGGTGTTCATTTGGTAGAGGGTCTTTCACATGCACAGAATATGTAATGGTGTAAATGCTGGTTAAAAGTACCTGTGTGTGACTACCGGTCTATTCTGTGTGTGTGTTTATGTATATGACTTGCTTTTAGTTATTGCACCCAGCATTTTCATTACAACATGTAATACATTTTCTGATATCATACTTTGCTCCAGTTACACTTGATGAAAACTGATCAATTCCTTTCTTTTTTTCTCCATTTATTCTACAACTAATTGCAGGGAAACCCCCACTGGTCTCCTGCATCTAATCAAAAATGGCCTCATTCACAAACGTGAATGGGGCTTTAACCTATTAATATACCTCATATTATTGTACCCATATTATTTGACAATAATTCATATTTGTGATTCTTGAGTATTTTTTAAATATCAATCATGACCTCTGTCTAACATTGGTGATGTTGTCAATTATCTTCCTATTCAATGGAGTTGTGACCCCATAAGGTTTTTTATATCAAAACCTTTTTTTAAGCATATGAGATGTGTATATCAGACATCTTTCTATCCACTCAGGTGGCTCAATTGTACATGGGCCCAGGATCTGTCCCAAAAATTAAAAAAAAAGAAAAAAAAAAAAAAAAGAAGACAACATCCTAAAACATTACTTGTTGGCAGGAAAGGTTGTGACCTCCTTCAATTGGAAGTATTCTTACAAGTATTCTACAATGTCTACAAAAGAATTGGCCAAGATCCTAAACAGTATAATGAATATGGAGACCATGGTAGCAGTGGACTAAAACAGACTAAAGCAACTACTCTACTGGGAGGTTATGAATAGCATACAGAGCTTCTGACCATTTGAGGCATTGGTCCAGTGATGCTATGGTGCTTTACATGCTCTACCATGTCCTCCTTCCTCAACATGTGCCTCTTCCATTCCACTTGCACTACATTAGATGTTTGCTGCATACATGACTGTCTACAGATATTTCACCTTAGCAATATTAATACACTAGAAGTGTGTTGTTACCAGCAATGACTATCGCTTCATGTCTTATGCCATGCTTACCATTGCCAAATCTTTTTGTTTGACTTAAGATGGAGATGTTGGTCTCAGGAATAATGTACAACTGGGTAGTGACATTAATACCTAGCTATTACTGAAACTCGGGGCAATACTTCCACGTTTTGAGGAACATAGCGAAAACTTAAACGTTATCTGTGGATCAATAATGGACAAATTGTGACTAATTTTGGGAGGTTGGCAGCAAGGATTTTTTTCAAAAAAAAACAGATTAACAAGCGTACTACATCAAGAAAAAGATGGTCGGTTCCTCATTATCTGTTGTGACAGTGTGAGGCTCTGCCACTGTGGAAATTGTCAGGAAAAGGACACAGGATTTGCACGCTTACTGAGTGCAGGACTACAGAGCTTTTGCAGCTTTCTCTGGATTCTGGTATTTCTGGATTGGGCTTTGTAGTTTGGAGATTTCAAAGGACCTTGGGAGGGAAGAAATCTCTAACCTAGTGTCCAGACTTTGTGGAATAGCAGTGGGGTGTGTGCTCAGGTGCACACAACCCTTTTAATGAAGGTCTGGTGACATCTCAGTTTGAGGTGGAGTGGAAGTTGTTGTTGCAGTGGCTGTCGTGTGGAGACTGGTGGTGTTTAACCACCTCCCACCCGCCATATAAGGAAATGACGGGCGCAAGGCGGTTCTCTTGTTCTGGGAGGACATTGCATGATGTCCTCCCACTCTAACCGCGCGGCACGGCGATCCGTGTCCCAGGGACACAGCGGATCACCAATCAATGGAAAGAGCCAATGACGTCGACTCTGTTATGTGATCAGCTGTGTCCAATCACAGCTGATCGCATGTAAATAAGGAAATGCCGGTTATCTGCATTCCTCTCCTCACAAGCTGTCACACTGACAGCTCGTGAGGAGAGGAGAGCAGGTAATCGGTGTGCCCTTATGATCAGTGTAGCCTCAGCAGTGCCACCTGTCAATGTCCATCAATGCCACCTGCCAGTGCCCATCAGTGCCACATCAATGCAACATATCAGTGCCTACCAGTGTACATCAATGCCACATATCAGTGCCCATCTGAGCTGTCTTTCAGTGCCACCTATCAGTGCCAGTCAGTGCCACCTATCAGTGCTGCCAATCAATGCCACCTATCAGTGCTGCCAATCAATGCCACCTATCAGTGACAGTCAGTGCTGCCTATCAGAGCCATCTATCAGTGCCATATATGAGTGCTGCCTTTCAGTGCCCATCAGTGATGCCTGTCAATGCCCATCAGTGCCACCTACCAGTGCTTCCTTATCAGTGCCCATCAGTGCCAATCACTGCAGCCTCATTAGTGCACATCAGTGAAGGAGAAATATCACTTATTTACAAAATGTTATAACAAGCTAAAAAAAAAACCAAACTTTTTAAAAAAAAAATTTCAGTTGTTTTTGGTTTGTTTAGCAAAAAAAACCCCAGAGGTGATTAAATACCACCAAAATAAAGCTCTATCTGTCTCAAAAAAAATGATAAAAATTTCATATGGGTACAGTGTTGCATGACCACACAATTTTTATTCAAATTGCGACATTGCTGAAAGCTGAAAATTGGCCTGGGCAGGAAGGGGGTATAAGTGCCCGGTAGGCAAGTGGTTAACAGGGACTGCATTCCTTGTGTTGGGGCTTCATGCCAAAGGACTGGGAAAGCCAGGACAGTTCACCTAGGCCTGGGAGACGAAGAGAGGGTCTGGAAGCCCAAGAAAACTAAAGCGGTTACCGGGTCCAGAAAGGCTGGAGGAAGAGTGAGTAGACCCAGGAGGACCAGAGAAACCTGTTTGAGGCCAGGAGTAAGCCCGTGCAGTGAGGTACTGCAAACTGAGGCTAAGTGAGCCAGGGAAAGCCAGTGTACTAGCAGCAGTCGTGCTGCCAAAGCGTAGCCAGGTGGCTTGGCATTTTTTGTTACTGTCATTATTTTTACTTTGCTGGAGAAGATCCCCTGTGTGGGCAACCCGTTTATGCTGGACTTTTGCCTTTTAATAACAGTGGGCTACCAGGCCCTTGAATAAAGTCCGGACTGACGTGAACTCACTTGGAAAACTCATCTACCACTAGAGCTGAACATTCCCCAGATGAAACCTTGGCTTAGGATTCTCTATTAGTTTCAGTAACTACTTATTTAGAACTCTGGTCTTAGTTCACAGAAGGCGCTTTGCAGTAAACAGTTTTTTGCACTAAATTCAGACCTATGGCTTTGCTCCGAAGCCATGCGGGAACATGTGCATGTTACGTCTAATGGTTCGATTCTGAAGTGGACCACTTGGTCTCTTTCTGCCATCGGTCTTCTGAGATTGTGTCCTTTTATAGAAGGGTTGGTGGTTGACAAGGAAGTTTAATGCAAGGGTTGATTGGTTTACATTAAGGGTCGGTGTAAGTTTTGGGGGGTTACAGAGAAGGTTACAGCAAGGGCTAGGGGGTTTCAGAGAGGGAAACAATTAGATTGACAGGTAAGTTTAGTATGAGGAGGTCTTGGAGTAAGGTTTTACACTCAATTCAAGCAGCACTGTGTGAAAAACCTCCAGTGACAAGCTTCTGGAGCTGAAAACTTGTATAAACACTAAAGAATTAAAGAAATAAAGCATAATAATACCTGGGGATTTCTGAGTCCTGTATCTGAATTACAGAAAGATTGACCTGTTTTTGCCCTGGAATAGGAGGAAGATCGGCACCATAGGTAACTGCAAATGTTTTATAATTTACGTCCCCTGGATTTGGTCGTGGTCTGTCTTCCCAGGACGGCCTTACGTACTCAAACAGCCCCTGCAGAAGAAAAGCAAGATAAGTTTTAGAACGTCCATTAAAAGCTTCAAAAATCTGAAAGTAGTGTTTTTTGCTGTCCATAGACAATAAATTATCTTTATTTTCGCTGACCGAAATCAGATAAATTAAACCTTTACATCTGTGGTCAGCCAATGTTGGATGTGTATCCAATAAAAAAAATGGTAATTTTATATAAAGAACAAAAAACAATTATGGCCTATTCAGACCATATGGTTTAGACTGCGCTGGGCTACTTTCCTTATGTCTTATTAGTTCAGTTCATACCACTGCACTGGGTTAGTGTGCATTAAAAAAGGGGGCGATGCTGCATCTTTACAGAGTGCATCCTGTTGCAATTCAGTACACCGCATTGCAACGCTTTGCAGTGCACAAAGATGAAAAAAACAAATATTTTGTGACATTTCAAAAAAGAAAGTAAACAGCTTGATGCATCCTTAAAAAGCATTCCTCAGCTCCTCCATAGAGGCACACAAGTGACTGTGCATAATACAGAGTATAATGTATGCTGCTGGTGTGAATAGGCACTTAAAGTGGAACTTTAGTCAGAAAATTAAGTTCTGCTAGATCACTTCATGCTGGCCCCTTTTGCAGGTATAGCTATGAAAACCATTAAAAATAAGTACCTATACCATTTAAAATCCAATAATACACTGCCTCACTTTGCTCTGCACATGCTCAGTTGTGGTCTATGATTCAGCACTGTGCCTAAAATGTAGAGGCCGATCTGCTGACAGCCTAAATATTTACTGTTTTCTGGTTTTCAGCAAAATGGCAGCCTCCAGCAAAAAGAAACAGGAACGCTGGAGGCAATTTACAGCACACACTCATTTTGGTATCATGATTATTAATGTGGAATGCATGTTCCTTGACTTTTTGTCAAGTTGTTATGGGTAAAGTTCCACTTTAAGGTGTCCATACATGGAAATATACCTCACCGAGAATAACCGATGAAGATATCTGTTCTAGGAACAAATGCTAGCACCACATCAATTCTTCAATGGTGACAGTGGCATACAGTATATGAGGTACAATGATTCTCCCAACTTCTTCACAACATAAGACAAGGGCCTTCAACCCTTGGGAAATAATAGTTCTACCATAGAATGCAATGCATTAATCCACAGCATCACTCAAAACACAGGACTGTATATAGAACCCTAACACAGGATGAGATTTGGCTACCCTGTATCAAAAAATCAATCTGAAATCCACATCTATCAAAACTGACACCAGCAAATATGATAGCCACACAAAAGACAATACATTTCAAATAGTTTGCTGGAGCTGATTTCTCCAAAAGTAACTAATTAGAAATCTGCATGTGTTTAGTGTGGAGAACGCTCTGTTTTCAACTTGTGCCAATGAAATGACTGGTGTTTGCTTCAAAGCCACACAGTGGAAATATGAAACGCCATGTAGAAAATTTGAAATGTCATGCAACATTTGAGTGAACTTAGGATTTCATGTACTGGAAATTTATTATTGCATGAAGCTATTTAAGAAAGGAATTTCTAGTTATGTATTGGGCTTGGGGAGGGTTCATTTAATGTAGAGAATGTTTCCTTTGGGGGGGGGTATTTAAGTTTGTTTAGGTTTGAGGAGAGTGGGGTGGGGAAGATTTTTGCATTTTTACGGGGGGGGGGGGGGGGGGCTTTTGTATTGGAGATGGTTGGATGAGGGATCAGGGAGCATTCCTCACACTACATTCTGTACCAAGAACTATATGTTAGATAACTCTGCACTCTGGATGTTAAATACCCCTGACCCCAGCTTTCTGTACACCACAAACCTCTAACCCCACAACACTTTATGTCACATAGATATGAGCTCAATGAATGTATTACTTTGCTGCATACATACTTGTTTACGTACCCCTGTACTCTGAATTATATATTCCTGACCACTGCACTCCCATTTTACATACTTGTAACCCGCACACTCTTAAAGTCACATACTCCTCACTCCTGCAAAGTGTGCCTTACATACTACTAAAACTTTCACCATATACTTTACATACTCTTGAACCCTGCACTCTACAACTAACATATCCAACCTTTCTACTCTATTTACCATAACATGCTCCCTGCATTCCATACTACTGAAGCCTACACTTCATACCTTACATTTTCCTGAACTCTACAACCCGCACCTTACAAAAATTCCTATCCTTGCAATCTGAATCTTAAATACTCTTGCCGTCCTCAGTTTACATACACATAACCCATACAATCCACACCCTAAACTGCAGACCCCTGCACTCTGTACCTACATACTGCTGACCCCTGCACACCACACCTTACATACTCTTTACCCATTCCCTTAATACACAACATACCCCTGACTCCAGCATCCTGTACCATACATACACCCGACCACTTAATTATATACATTGCATACTCCCAATACCTGCACTCCGCACCTTACAAAAATCTGACCCCTACACTCTGCACTTTACATTCACATAACCCCTACAATCAGCACTTTACATACCCCTGGCCCCTGCACTCCGCACCTTACATACTTCTGATCCCTTTCTTTAATACACAATAAATCTAATTTCTTCATAAAATGTAGGCCAAAATGTATTCTGCTACATGTCTTTGGTAAAAAGGAAATCCCAATAGGTGTACATTGATTGGTTTCTGTAAAAGTCATAGCATCTACAAACTATGGTATATTTACTGGAATTTTTATTCATTTTGTTTTTTAAACTTGTAATGTCAGTGATCAGCAACTTATTGTGGGACTGTGATTGTGCGGCAGACAATCTGACACTAACTGAAACTGGTTGGGAAGTACACTGACATTACCAATTAGAACACCAATACAGTGATCAGCAATAATACTATACACTGTCACTGTACTAATAACACTGACTGGGAAGGGGTTAACATCTAGGGGGTCGATCAATGGGTAAACTATGTGCCCAAGAATGTGTAATATGTGCTGCTTTTTACTAAATACCTCTTTGTTTCCTCTCCCTGCAAAGTAGGGAGAAGGAACAAACAGATTGTTCCCTCTGTACAGAGCCTTGTATTGTTTGTCAACAAAAGGCTCTGGGCTGTGATTGGACACAGCTGATCAGCAGGTCTCAGCCATGAATCATTGGCTAAACCTGCTGACAAAATCCCTGTGTCCTGTGTCCAATCACAGCAGGAGTCCACCATGGTGGTGGGGGGTGCCACACGAAGGCCCTGAACTTGGGAACCATTGCCGACATACAGGTATCTGATTGTGCCTGTAAAATGAATGCGCAGTAAAATGAAGGCGGGCAGCCGACACGTGGTTAAAATATGTTTTGGATTGTAGGCTGTGCTGGATATAGTAGATTCAGGATCTATTAGATTATGTCCCTCTATGCCC